GATAGCTATGCCACAATCCCTTCTCCTCCAGTCTCCTCTCAGGATTTTGGGCATGCATACACACGCACCTGGCATGAGTTTTAAGCTGTCAGGTCTGGAACTCGAACTAAAGTTAACTACACAGGAGTCCAGTGATGTAAGCATTATGCCATATGATGGTCCCTATTTATATTTATCTATGTATTTTATGCTTTTGCCATAGGGTGCATGCGCTCATCAAAGAGTGAAACAGAGAAAGGGAAAGTGAGAAATCACCCTTCCAGGGGGGATGGCCACACTGCAATCCCTTCTCTTCCACTCTCCTGGGATTTGGGGGGAGGGGCGCATACACATATGCCTAACATGGTTTTCAAGCCACAATGTCCAGGACTTGAACTACAGTGGGTCATTCAAAAGTCCACCACCTTAACCGCTATGCCACCTGCTGGCCCCAGAGAAATTGTTTAGTTCAGAGGTTTTCAAATTTTTTCTGTTGGTAGTGAGGGGGGTCATGGGCTGTCCATTTGAATAAGACCTAATACGGCTAAGAAAACAAAAGTATAGGTGAAGGCCAAAAGTAGAGTTGCTCTGGTAGTAGAGGCTGTGGCAGCCCCTGAAGGAACTCCTTGGAACCTCTACTTTGGCTGAGTATCTGAGCCTCTAATACTGTCAGTTCCCTCATTTACAGAGAAGCAAATGCGCTGCAGAGCACAAAATGAGCGCCCAGGGCTTTTTCAAACAAACCAGCCAGCCTCTGCCCAGTTTTGCTAATCATCTTAAAATTCTTCTTTGTCAAAGTTTTTCAGGGGTTATACTTGGTCATTGGTTATTTCAAAAAAAGATGTGAACATTTTATTTCACCGCAAGAGAAGAGTTGGTGTATACAAATATGGAGTAAAGTATGCCTCAACCCTTTATGTGCATGTGCATATGTGTTCATATGTATGGAAGAGAGCAAAGAGACCAGTTCACAGATAATTGTAAGGCAGAATGTAAGTGCGATAAGAGAAACGAGAACAAAATGCTAAGGATATTCAACAGAAGGGGGAAAACTGCCTTCAATTTAGGGGGAAAAGAAGGAGGCAAT